AGATTGACCCGATTATTTTAAAAACTTGTAATAAAAATTTAATTAACACGAGAGATACCAAGTTTGTCTAAACCATGTGCGTTGATATATAGTTCCCTAGCAATTATTGTATTGAGAGCTGGAACCACATCTATCCATAAAAGGTCGCCCAGGAATATATGTCTAAGTGTATAAAAATGATATATATATGTATAAAAATGATATATGATAAATGATATATTATATATTATGATAAATAATATGCCTATATGTATAAAAATGATTTTCATTTAACTTTACGTTGAGTGATACAGGTGAGATCGGATAAAACTGTGTTCATTTCACGTAGTTGTTTATTTGAACAGTATATCAGTTCCATGGCTAGAAGACAAGATACGGTCGAATAATTATAAAGTTCCAAAGGGAGAAACATTACATCTGAATGTCACACGTGAACTTGATCTTTTGGGATGCCAGATTGAGAATAAAGGTTGTCGCATTATTAAGAAATAATTAGTGAGCTTGTGAGGGAGTGAATGAATAAATGAGCGAGCGAGTGATTGAGTGAGCTCACTCACTCACTCACTCACTCACTCACTCACTCACTCACTCACTCACTCACTCACTCACTCACTCACTCACTCACTCACTCACTCACTCACTCACTCACACTCGCTCGCTCGCTCACTCACTCGCTCATTCACTCACTCACACTTGCTCACTCACTCACTCACTCACTCACTCACTCACTCACTCACTCACTCACCACCACTCACTCACTCACTCACTCACTCACTCACTCACTCACAATCAATGAGTGTGTGAGTGAGCGTGTGTGAGAAGACTAACACTGTTGCCTGCTACGTTGTTTTTGATGATGAAGGTTTCACTCGGTGAAACGTAAGTTCATTGCCACACTGAAGGAGCTTCGCAGTAAGGAGCAGAATCCCTACACAACACACAGCATCATCAGCCTCCTGATGGGGATGAAGTTCTTCCGCATCAAGGTATAGCAACCCTTTACCTGCCTTATAGATGTACGCTATCATCAAGGTATAGCAACCCTTTACCTGCCCACTACACTCAATTTTGTATTTGCAAACACTTCTCTGGAATGGGCACTGGTTTATTAAAGACACTTCATTTAGGTGACTAAAAAGAAGGCATTCATTAGCCTCAAGGTAGCAATGATGACTTTATACCTCCCTAATATAATCTGTACTTGTGTGCTAGGATATACCTACCCCATGCCATCAAGGTCGTAATGATAACCATTTACCTGCTTCTCACCTGTCTGCTACACTTACCAACATGCTATCAATTACCCATATAAGAACATTTATTCCTGATTTGCTATTCCCCTAGATGTTCAACTCTTTACCTCTGCGCTGCCTACCTAGTGTTCTTTTCAACGGTCAAGGTTCATAATCAAGTGTTCGCAGATGGTAGCTGGAGAGGTTCATGATCGTGTGTTTATGGTGTTCACAGATGGTACCTATAGAAGAGTTTGAGGCGTCGTTCCAGTTCATGCAGGAGCTCGCAACCTACTTCGTGGAGGTGAAGGAGCGTGACATCAAGCATTCGCTCGCTGGACTGTTTGTGGAGATACTCGTGCCTGTGGCAGCTGTAAGTACGACGTTCGTTTGTGTCGCGAGTTAAAAATGATAAAATCGTTTACCTGACTTTACGTGATTTTACGTGAATTTTACGTTTCATGAAGTCCCTCTTATACTGTATATGGCTCACCACTTGCTCACAGTATTGCACGGCGGTGTGTTATCTTCACAGATTATGTGTGTTATCGTATGTGTTGTCGTGATATTGCATGCTCATTTATTTATTTGCAGACTGTGAAGAATGAAGTGAACGTTCCCGTGCTAAAGAACTTTGTAGAGATGCTCTACCCACAGACTATTGACATGTCTACCAAGAAAAAACACATACTGGTGAGTGTGTGCTATATACTCATAATTTCTTATATTCACCCTTAATGCCTTACCCTGCTATACATATTATCCCCTGACTCACTTACCTTGACGGACTTGCGGCCCCAGTTTTTGCGCGCAGCGAATACGCCGCAACAGCGAATACGCCGCCCCCTTTTTGTCCACTTAGACAGATACCTTAGACAGGGGTCTGAAAACGAATTCCGCAAAAACTGGGCGCGATCCAACCGACATTTCGCGATGGACGGCAGGAGGCCATCTCCAAACGGTCCCTAAACTTTTTTAGCCTCATGGCTAAGACGTAGTGGCTCCTACAAGAAACCCCAAGAAATGCTGTCAATCAGCGATGACGCGCTCGCTCATTGGCCGCTACGCGATGACGTGCGCTACTGCCGAGTATAGCGTTATGTCTATCACAGAGCTTTTAAGGAAGTGTCGTACGGCGCTCCACGTGGGGGGTGGGGGCGCGGTCTAGATGCTATCTCCAAAAGCGGCGCCGCCGTGGCAGCGCCTGGCTGCGTACGTGCTACATTTCGACCAACCTCCTGACCCCGCGCTGCCCGTGGCGACGGCACGTCGTGCGAGCACCTGCGCTGGCGTGGCCGGCGTGGCTGGTGTGGCAAACCAGCAGCAGCACCAAATACTGGTCCCTGCTAGCTGCTGCAGCGCGGCTCTGGAGCAGCAAAGCAGCAGCAGCAGGAAATGCCCTCCCCAAGGCTGCTGTAGTCAAGCCGGTGTACGTCTCACGAAAACTGCACGATGTTACGCTTCCCGCTATACGGATTCGCACGCCCGCCCTCCTTCGGCGCGCGAATTCATATAGCGGGCAGCGCGAGATGCTACATACAACACACCGCGGTCGCGTGCGCCCAGTCCCGCAGAAGTGCGCGGCTTAACTGCTCTCGGCGGTCGGGGAATAACGCATATTTTGCGCAACGCCATCTTGTACCCGGTCTCTCTGGATAGCAATGCTGTATCTGATTTAGATACAGATATGTGAATGTAGGTGGCGCTGACCTTGGTGTGATGCGTGTTTCAGGCGCTGTTTCCACTCGTCACGTGTCTACTGTGCGTGAGTCAGCGACAGTTCTTCTTCCACAACTGGCCTTACTTTCTCGCCATGTGTCTCTCGCATCTCAAGAACAAGGACCAGAAGATGAGTCGAGTGGCACTGGAGTCGCTCTACCGCCTGCTGTGGTGAGTCGAAATTCTCTTTTTTTCACTCCCTCTCTCCCCCTCTCCCTATCTCTATCTCTCTCTCTCTCCCTCTCTCTCTCTCTCTCTCTCCCATACTCTTTAGGGTGTATATAGTTAGCTATGTAACTGTATATTCTAGGGTGTACATGGTTACCTATCCTTACCTAAATCGTGACCCACCGATCTCTCTGTGTTACAGGGTGTACATGGTGCGGATACGATGTGAGAGCAATGAGGTGACTCGCAGCAGGCTGCACACGATCGTCAACAGTCTGTTTCCTAAAGGCTCCAAGGTTGTGATCCCGCGCGATACACCACTCAACATATTTGTCAAGATCATCCAGTTTATTGCCAAGGTAGGGTTGAGTCCTCATGCTGGGGGTTAAACTTACTCAGACCTTACGTAGCTAAGTCACCCTTTAGGACACGTATTTATTCAAGACACTCAACAGGTCTATCGCAATTACACCAACGAATGAGGGTGTAGGTTAAATTAAAATGAACATTTTGATTAAATATACAATTTACATGATATTTATGTGCATGTGACTGGAAAATATGTGAGCAGGGAATGAAAAATGTTTGCTCACCTACCACCCACACCTGAAAGTCCGGGGAAACATTTGAGTGATGTCTCTCACTCATATTATCCTGCTCAAGTCTTTATGGGCTTATAAGAGGTGGAGAGTTGTTTAAATATGACAGTATTGATTTGCTACATGATGCAGCAGTCTTTACAGTAACGTAATGACACTTACTCCGGCTTAGCCTGCATAGGAAAGATAACCATGAAAATTACAGTTTACCTGCATGAGAGACTGATGCTGTTTAAATAATGTTAATGAGAAGATTTATTACAGTACGTCATTGCCTTCACAATCCTGACGGAGCGTTTTATTTTTTTGCGCGTCGGCAGGAAAGACTGGACTTTGCTATGAAGGACATTATATTCGACCTGCTGTGTGTCGGGCGGTCCATAAAGTTCCTAACCCCTGAGGTAAGATTTCACACAACACCATCGCTGTCATGTCTATTGATCATCGGTAGTGTTTATAAACCGCTAGCCGTCGTGTGGTTTATAGATGCGTGGCTATGTCACGTAGGTATAGTATGTGAACTACGTGAACATTCTATATTATATGTCATAGTGTGTGAGGATTTTTTTTATCATGAACTTTATTTCCAAAAGTACATATATATATTGCACAATTTATTTTACACAATGTCAATGATATTGTAAATGTAAGGATCGCTGATGGTACAAAAGTCAGGTTAAAGATACAGACAGATATATAAAACAGTTTTGCAATGCAATAGGGTAACATGGCGTGATCAATCATAGAGTCTTTTGCAGAGTACTTCAAAAAAGTACTGTGCAAGCATGGTGTGTGAACATTAGTGTTCCTTTGTACTTTGCACAAGCATGTCGAGTGGTTCTTGTACGCTGTACAGTCATTGTTTACTGTATTATTTTTCTGTTTAGGCATCTATATTCTTAGCTGTACAGACGTGATCTTATTGATTGTGTGTTTATGTTATTACTTATGACAGATAATCATCTTGTCTTCATGCATTACTTGTTATCGCGAATGTCTTGTTGTTTACATTATTCTTTATGTTATTGTTTACAGCGGATGAGCATAGGTCTTCGTGCGTTCCTCGTCATTGCGGACTCACTGCAGCAGAAGGAGGGAGACCCTCCGATGCCTCGCACACTCGGAGTGCTGCCCTCTGGCAACACCCTCAGGTAATGTAACGACACTTCTCGCACTCCGAGTGCTGCTCTCTAATATGTGTAATAATGTAATCACTACGGTAACACTACTGCTTCCATAGTATCCGGTGCGCACAGTCGATGAGAATTTAACGATAATATCTCGATGAGAAAACTTGCTGCGTCAAAATTATCCTTGTTGTGAGATGCTATATAACGTGGAAGCTATCCTATGTATTTGCTCAGAAGAGACCAAGGAAACGTACAAATTTTGACGCGGGATTTTGTAAGCCCTTTAGAATTTCCCGTTCTTTTAATCATCGCCCACCGGTCAGATGTATCGCTACATCCATAGCACGAAGCTAACATAGCGCCGCTTCCATCGCCACGGCAACGTAATGTGAACGTGGTTTCGCGTTGCAGAGTTAAGAAGACGTTCCTGAATAAGATGTTGACGGACGACATCGCGCGCACGATCGGCATGGCGCAGTACTACCAGCACGTGCGCAAGGCGTTCGACTCGATCCTGCGCGCGCTCGACCTGCAGGTTGGACGAACGATGGTGCTCACCAACAGCCAGAACCTTCACAAGGACCCCGAGGAGCTGATCACGTACGTACGCGCCAGGGGGCGCTCGTGATGACTCAATGATACCATCAGGGGGCGCTCGCGATGACTCAATGATACCATAAGGGGGCGCTCGTGATGACTCAATGATACCATCAGGGGGCGCTCGCGATGACTCAATGATACCATCAGGGGGCGCTCGTGATGACTCAATGATTCCATCAGGGGGCGCTCGTGATGACTCAGTGATACCATCAGGGGGCGCTCGCGATGACTCGATGATACCATCAGGGGGCGCTCGTGATGACTCGATGATGCCATCAGGGGGTGCTTGTGATGACTCGATGATACCATCAGGGGGCGCCCGTAGTATTGAGACTAGACGGTGGCACTTCATAGTCACCGATGGAAACGCAGCTTTTCAGCTTGCTCCAGCACTCGAGTGATGGGCCGTGAAATCGTTCATATAAATCACTGAATTATGCCGGAGATTTTTTGACTCGTCCGCGAATTTAATTGCGGCTGGGGTCGTAATTGGCGCCTTCTGCTGGCGACCAGGAATGTCGCATCACATCTCGCTCAACGATGGCAGCCGTGGGAATTCACCGCTTTTAGATTTTGAATTTAACAAACGCACACGCTCCCCGATGGCCAAATGGTTTAGCAATTGTCCCGCCCTTCCCGTGCCGCTTGTAACAGTAAATGTGCAATTACAGAGAAACTGTATCTGCGTTCTTCCGGGGAGCATCACAGGTTGCTAGGGAACCCTGGCCATGATGCTGGCTATCTCTCCTCGTCTCGCTATGTCTATGACAGGCTGTGTTCAGATGCTGCATTTTCATATATTTTTTATAAATATTCTATTAATGTCGCTACTCGTTGTCTCCTCTCTCATCACCGTAGCAGAATGTCACACGGTTGCGTCCTGCATAGGTGACGTGATTATTTGAGGACACCCATGCTTGGCGACATAATTGTTTTGTTGTTATTCTCGCTTGATGACATGACCGTGTGGCGGCAGAATTGCTCGGTAACGCAGTGGTTTGGTGACACGATCAACTGGTGACACGTTCGTTTGTTGACAGGTTCATTTGGTAACATATTCGTTGATAATTGCAGGGGTGAGAGGAAGCCAAAGATAGATTTATTTCGCACGTGTGTGGCGGCCATTCCTAGACTGATCCCCGAGGGAATGAGCAAGCCGGATCTGGTAGACCTGCTATCCCGTCTCACTGTACACATGGACGAGGAACTCAGGGGGTGAGCGAGGGGAAGGGGAGAAGGGGGTGCGGAAGAGGGAGGAGTGGGGAAGGGAGAGAGGGGTTAGGGAATGATGAAACAGGACTAGTAAGCCTGCTTTCCTGTACACATAGAATGCGTTTTGGTAGCGAGGGAGGAGATGAGTGAAAAAGAGGAGGAGGTGTGCAAAGGGAGAGTAATGGGAAAAGGAGACAGGAAATTAAGTGATGCGAGAAGAGGGGAAGATGGGTTCAGTGATTGAAAGAAGGAAGGAGGAGATGAGGCCTCAGGGGGTTGATAGAAGGTGAGGAGAGAAGAGAGGAGGCGAGAAGAGAAGCGAGGAGGTAAAAGAGGGATGCGGTGGCTTTACTGAGATCAACACGTCAGTTGACCTGACTCAAACGTAGCACACTGAGTCACAGAGTAATCTCTATGTTCCTTGATCATGCTGTACCAATGCCAACGCTGTCATGTTTATCTGACACTAAACAAGTCTTCTTGCTTCCGCAGATTGGCCTTCCAGTCGTTACAGAATATGGTGCTAGATTTTCCCGAATGGAGAGAAGACGTTATATATGGTAAGTGGCAGGCACAAGCGCACACACACGCTGTACACGATGATCGCCGGTTTTTAACAGGAGTGCCGAGCTTAGCAAGCATAAAGCTTATTGATTCTTGCCGTCTACCATGCGCCAAGTTTACCATGCCCGCCAAGTTTACCATGCCCCCTACACAAGCTTGACCGGTGTCTGTGAAATATTCTATCTAGGTCACCATGCGGTCACTGTCAGAATCATTGTAATCATAATGTTACATTTAAGTAAACTTTCCTCATGCGTTGTAATGGTACAAATCATCATTGTAGAGCGACAGTGTTTACCCAACTACATGACAATGGGTCTTAAATTGACTACGTCACGAATTTTCTATGGTAAAATTTGTAAAAGTTTTGTTGCCATTTTTTTACATTAAAAGTAAGAACTAACAGGACTAAACATATCGTCAAATTCTTACCTAATAAGATTGTTTCTCAACTAGTTAAAAATCCAAAAATCCTAGATGATTTGATATTATGTTCCTGACATTAATTGCTTGCTATGGGCTATGTATGAGTCACGAGTGTATGTTTACATCGAACAATAATTATAGTAAAATAGGAAGTATAATGCAGCAATTTAACCATAAAAAGTGAACATTATTTTGTGAAAAAGTGGAAATATTTTTTTTATTTTTTACTATTTACGGTGACGTAATCACTTTAACCGGGCTTGTTGTGAGATTTTTTTTCTGTGTCCGGTACATACACTTGAACAGTGCTCGCGTCTCTATTGCAGGCTTCATCCAGTTCATTCAGAAGGAGGCGTCTGACACGTCGCCACAGCTGCTGGACAATAGCCTGCGCATGCTGGTACAGCTAGTCACGCAGTGGCGCACCGCCGCACAGGCGCCCCCTACCCATGCTCACACGACACACGCACAGTACAAGGTATGCCGTAAGAGCCATCACTGCGTGATAAACGTGTTTATCACTGGTATTGTATGCGATAACGCTGTGAATATCACAAGTGAGTCACTGCATCTGTCACTGCCGTCCTAATGAATTTATTATTTGCAAACGTATATAACATGCAACACGTGATAAATCTAGTACCTATCATGCTCTGTGGGAAACTTGAAAAACGCTATATCTGGGTTTTTCTTCCTTGTATTGGAACAATTTCCCGCACTGCAATAACCGCCAGCTGATGCCATTTCGAGTAGTTGACCGCTTCATTCGCCAGGGGCAGCACCATCGAAACGCTTAACAAGCAGGGTATACGAAGTGTCCAGTCTGTGTATCCGTTAGTCTGTGGTATTACTAGCTGTGGATGTTATCGCGTGTAGGACAACCGGGAGACGGAGGCGGTAGAGCTGACGCCGCTGCGCGGACACGAGCACAGCAGTGGCGCCATCGACGTGCTGTGTTTCACCGAGGGATTCGCGCTAGTCATGCTGTGTCACTGCCGCCACATCACACGCAAGCTGTCCATGGTTCTACTCAAGGAAGTGAAGAGTCTATACCAGCTGCTGGACCGAGTGAGTAACGCACACCACATCGTACCTTGTGTTATTTTGTCACAGCACGTCAAACCTTGTGTTATTTTGTCACAGCTTGTCATACCTTGTGTTATCATGTCACAGCATGTCATACCTTGTGTTATTTTGTCACAGCTTGTTATACCTTGTGTTGTCTTGTCACAGCACGTCATACCTTGTGTTATCTTGTCACAGCATGTCATACCTTGTGTTATCTTGTCACAGCTTGTCACACCTTGTGTCATCTTGTCACAGCTTGTTATACCTTGTGTTATCTTGTCACAGCACGTCATACCTTGTGTTATCTTGTCACAGCATGTCATACCTTGTGTTATCTTGTCACAGCTTGTCACACCTTGTGTCATCTTGTCACAGCTTGTTATACCTTGTGTTATCTTGTCACAGCTTGTCACACCTTGTGTCATCTTGTCACAGCTTGTTATACCTTGTGTCATCTTGTCACAGCTTGTTATACCTTGTGTTGTCTTGTCACAGCACGTCATACCTTGTGTTATTTTGTCACAGCTTGTCATACCTTGTGTTATCATGTCACAGCATGTCATACCTTGTGTTATTTTGTCACAGCACGTCATACCTTGTGTTATTTTGTCACAGCCTGTCACACCTTGTGTTGTCGTGTGACAGCATGTCATACCTTGTGTTGTCTTGTCACAGCATGTCATACCTTGTGTTATTTTGTCACAGCTTGTTATACCTTGTGTTGTCTTGTCACAGCATGTCATACCTTGTGTTATCTTGTCACATCATGTCACACCTTGTGTTATCTTGTCACAGCTTATCATACCATGCAACACCTTGGGATATTTTGCCACAGCTTGTCATACCTTGTCATGAATTGTCACACATTGTGACACCTTGCCTATCACACTCCTACCTACCCCTGCTCCATTTACTCTCCATCGTCCTACTGAAGGAGGGGAAGGAACCACCCTGTGCAAAGTCCCTTGCGGATACAGAGATGTTATTGGTTTTTTAAAGTCAGATGAAGCCTGACCTTGACTGCTTGACCTGACTGGCCTTGACCTTGACATTAGCGTCATCGTCATGATGAGCATATGTTTAGTTTAGACTATGTTCGTAAGCTACGTTGTTGTGTAGTGACCTCGTCACCTTGGATTGTGTGAGCAGTAATTAATGTTCTTACCCTTACGTTTCGGTTGTGAGTATGTATGTATTCAGGGATGGGACACGCGTCTGATAGACGTAGTGGGGAAATTAATGTTGTTGCCTTGATGTTTTTTGGTGCGCAGGGAGAGGACACGCGTGTGATAGATGCGATTGATGCTGCATGTCCTACTGTGGTAGAGAGACTCACAGCCAACCTGCCGCCAACTGAGAAGGTAGGCTGCAGCAGAGAGACTGCAAGGAGAGGTTGCAGGGAGAGACATATATGGAGAGGTTGCAGGGAAAGACATATATGGAGAGGCTGTAGGGAGAGAAATTTGTGGAGAGGCGGTGGGAAGAGAGGCAGAGGCTTCTAGGGAGAATTCTATAAAGCATCCCTTCTTGAGCGATTTGAAGAGGATTTTGCATTAACCCACCCAGCATTTCAGGTGTTGGTTGTCAGGCAGATATTGTTCACGTTATCGTTCGGCTTTATACGTGGTATGTAATACGTATATACAATGTATACATGGAAGTAATACGTGAAGAAATCGTTTAAAGCATTGAGTGTATTTAGTCGTGTGTCATATATTTGCAGGCGTTAGTGTTGGCGCAGTCTCACATGGACCTGCAGTGGTTAGCCGAACGCAACAATTCCATATGGATATGTGCCGATAGCAACTCTCACACTCTCAACAACTTCAGCAGGTAGCTAGCACCCCGTGTCCACGTAGTCAACAAACTGTTAACATAGGCGGTCTCCACCTGCATTTAATCTAAATATGAATCTAAACATAACTCCTAACTTTTCTAATGAAATGTGTCATTCGTTGTTCTTTCATGCGTTTAGAGAGGGTTTCCCTAGAAACACTTAATCTGTGATCTGATGATGAAGCCAATAATATTAAACAGTATTTTAAACATGCAGACTGTGATGAGATATTGTACCTATATATATATATATCATATTAATTATGACGTTATTGTATGAATCCTGTGTTGATGTGAGCTTCATGGGGATGATGAGAGAGGTATGAGATGTGTTGTGTTATGTGCTACAGGTTCGATGCGTGGTCCACGTTCCTCACACGCATGCTGGAGAGGAACAACGTCGTAGCTCAATGTGACTCGGCCGTCCGCCACGCATGGCCCATCGTATACAGCCGACTCATGTACCTGTTCACCTACGTAGACCCAAAGTATGTGTCGCGGCGGCCATGTTGCATATACCGTTGGCCGTACAAGGTCCATCTAGTGTGACCTCATACAGACCCTCAATCCCCTTAGAGATACTTTTAGATTTTCTTTCTAGAATTTTGGTATACTATGTCTGCTGATCTCGTATAAGTGATTAAGTCATCGAGATGTTTTAATCACAGTAATGCATAGGTATATAGCTCGTCTTTGTAATCATGATGTTAGGTAGCTGAAGGTTATCCAAGGTCAGTCATGTGTTGTTGCAGTAGCCCGATGAATTACATCCCAGCGTCACTGCAGCCATATTGCGTCGTGTTTGGGGGTAACCATGGTAACGTCTTGTTGTTGCAATAGCCCTCGTGAATGAAAACACAGCGTCGTGTTTGGAGGTAACCATGGTTACGTTATGTCATTGTAGTAGCCCCGTGAATGACAACAGAGCGTCGCTGCTGCGCACCAGTAAGAAGCAGCCCAACGAGCGAGACCTCTACTTGAACCTGTGGAGAAACTACCTGGTGTTCGCCTGTAGCACCGTACCGGGCGTGCAGGCCTGCAGCAATCGCTCCGCATCACCCGAGCTCAGGTATGTGGCAAGCTGAGGGAGGGAGGTGGGCTAGAAGGAGGAAGAAGAAGAGGAGGAAGAAAGGGGGCTCTTCCCCAGAGAGTTACACACCACCGTATTCTAACTTGTCTCTCTCTCTCTCTGCTGTAGTTCCTCCCCTGAGAGTTCCATATCAGCATGCTCTTACACGCTTCTCCCTTTCTCCACTGTGGCTCCTCTACCGAACGTTCCACACCACTGTGTTCTAACACGCTTCTCCCTCTCTCTCTCCCGGCTGTAGCTCCTCCCCTTAGAGTTCCACACCACCGTGTTCTAACGCACATCTCTATCTCTCTCTCCCGGCTGTAGCTCCTCCCCTTAGAGTTCCACACCACCGTGTTCTAACGCACATCTCTCTCTCTCTCTCTCGGCTGTAGCTCGTCCCCCGAGAGTTCGACATCGGAGCGTTCGGAGGGCAGGTTCTCGGTGAACCACGGCCCGCCGCCGCCGGCCAGCGGACTCTTCAAGCTGCTGGTGCCTCTGCTGCGCTGCGAGAACGCTGAGATGAGAGACATAGTCATCCGCGGCCTGGGTGTGACCAACGCTGACGGCATCCAGTAAGTACACGCGTGCCAGAGAGCGTGGTGGAAGGGTAGGGGGACGAGGGGAGGGGGAGGGTGGGAAGGGGGAGAGGGAGGGAAGGAGAGGAGAGGGGAGGGTAGGGGAGGGGGAAGAGGGAAGGGGACGATGGGAGGGGGAGGGAAAGAAAGGGGAGGGCGGGGGTAGGGGAAGGGGAAGAGGGAGGGAAGGGGAGGAGAGGACAATGGGAAGGGTGGGGAGAGGGGGAGAGGGGAGGAGGAGGGGGAGGGGGAGGGGAGTTTGAGGATGATGTGTTGGTGCTTCTATGTTATAGCACCGTCGGTTCACCGTAATTAACTAGACGGTTTCTATGCCAACAGCGATCTGATGGAGGAGCTGCTGCCATTGATTCGCGAGGCGATTGACAGGAAACAAGAGAACATGCGACGCCGCAGACGCCGCGACACGCTGCGTGTTGTCCTTGTGCGTCTGCTGGAGTTGATCGCAGAGAACGAGAGATTTGCTCACAGGTAGGTGCTGCTGCTGCTGCTCCTGCAACTCCTGGTGTTGTTGTTGTTGTTGTTGTAATGTTGTTATTGTATATTCAGTTCTAAAATAGAGCACTTAAAACTAGGTTAGGAGGTTAACTTAACAGGGCGATCAATGTAAATACTAAATGATCACACATCGCAATGTGATTTAGCTTGTCTTATATATCGGCCATCACATGTTGCGTTTGTCGGCGCCACGTCTTATACAAGCAGATAACTCACATTTCTCTCGCCCGCAGCAGTGGCATCTGCGACAAGGAGACGAATGCTCTCTTTAGCACGTTCGTCGATTACATAGATGGCGCCAGGATGTACCTGGACAGCGAAAGCGACAAGGATGTGCCGGTGATTCAGGAGATTAGGCTTCACTTCAGTGGCTTCATCTGTAAGCTCATCAAGAGCTTCCCACGTAAGTCTCCGCACCTACGTGCGAGCGATCAAGCGATCGAGCCATGCACAAACGAAAGCGCAAGCATGTGCGAGATAACGAGATAGTAATAAATGTGTAAATGTAAAATAAAAATAATATAAATATGAAAAATAAATATAATCATATAAAGTACAAGATAGTATAAATAAAAATAAATATAGGAGATTAGACGGGTGTTATATTGTCTTTTGCTGTGCGGTTCACCGCAAGTTGTTTGTTTGTTTGTTTGTTTTCAGTGAGTAAGAGAGAGAACCTGTTGACCAGGGACCTGCGATACAGCCTCTTCCACCTGTTTGCAAACTGGAGCGGAAGATTTGGCGTCACTTTCGGAGCGGTCGACAAAAGGTGTGGTACTAGCAGCCTCTACATATCTTTAGCTCTCCCTCCACATATCTCTAATGCCCTCAACAGCTCTCTAGCACCCTCTAGATATCTCGCTTGCTCTTCATGATGTCCTCATGAGTCCTGACTCCATAGGTAAGCTGTATCAAGGATCCTTACCTTTTAATTGTAAGGTGTAGGGTGAAGGCACATCTTGATCACCACTAATTGCATCGAATGCGCGTGTCAGTGTGATTCTAACTACGAATAATTAGCTAACGTCGTCGGTTTCTTCCCCCGTCTCTCGCAGGTCGAACAGCCGTGATGATTCCGTTAACGAACTAGAGGTGTCAGCACTGCAGGCGATGTCGGCCGTACTCTGCTGCGGGCCGGCATTCGATGCTAACGGCCTCTCCGACGAGACCGGCTACATCTACGCATGGCTGGACAACCTGCTGGAGGCTCACAATGAGAAGGTAATCGTAGCATTCACTGCGACGCCAGTCTAGATTTGTCGATGTTGCTTTTCCTGTCGGCCATAGCTCAGGCTTTGGAGATTTTTAGCGGTTTTAATTTTTCGGTGTTTAGTCTTCGCGATCTGCACTTATCTCATGCGTTACGGTGACGATTACGATAATGCACAGCTGCGCGTTGCCATGGCGATCATAGTGATGAAGGGCTTCAGGTTACGATGATGATTACGATAGTTAGCTAGTATAATTAGGTAGAACAGCTGCAATTTTGAACTAGCAGTGCATCTGTTATCTTCTCTCAACGTTATTTTTCTTCTGTTGTAATCGATGCGTCGCATCAGTAGCCGGTGTGTTTGTGCAAACTGTGGTTTTCTCACTGTGTCGTGTCGACTTCTCGGGGATGTGTAAATGTACTTGCTTCTCGCATGGTGGTTGGTGACAACTGTATCGGTTCACGCACATGTGTTCTCTCTCGCTCTCTCTCACGCTTTCTCTCCGTCTCTCTCTCTTCCATTTCTCGTTGTGATACTGACCGCTCTGCTATCTGCTGGTGCTTATTCTCCCGCTGTAGACAAAGAAGGAGGTAAGCCACATGCTTCCATAGATTTTGCTTTGTTGATCGGTTAGTCTCACTGTCTACCTTGTTTTGTAGATCAATCGCTATATCGCAGCTCTTTCCACATGACTTTCGCACAAGCAGTTCTTGTTAAATGGTCCTGCAGGTGCCAGCAGTATAGTTGGTTCTTGAAGTCAGGTGCTGTAGCGTCACCGGTATCAACAGTTTAAAGGTCACTTGTGCCTACCGTAGGAGTTACGTAGTAGGTTACGTAGATTTACGTTGTACCGAAGTCACACGAATGCCCGAAATTCCAACCCGAATCCGATCTCTACGTAAGTCGTCTCGCGTCGCGCACGGCCACCGTCAACGTTCGCTTCCCTTGCAGATATACCGGCTCGCGCAGGAGACAATCGTCTTGCTCCTGGAGTTCAACGCCGACACGATGGCCCTGCTCGACTGGGTCATCGACCGCTGCTACACGGGAACGAACGAGGTCGCCGACGGATGCTTCATGGCACTCGCGCGAGTCTTCAGCACCAGGTGAGCGGGCGTGGCAGTGCTGCTGGGGGGGGGGGGTGAATGGTGTGGGATGTGACATAGTTAACAGCTGGTCAGTATCATTACAACTGCTCTTATGTGTGGTTACGGTGGTCTTGATCACCGCGGTTAGATCCATGCGGGGTTGCAGCTGTGCATGGTTACCGTGGTTACAGCTGTGCTTGGTTACCACCGTTACATCCGTACGCGGTTACAGCTGTGCGTGGTTACCGTGGTTACAGCTGTGCGTGGTTACCGCCGTTACATCCGTACGCGGTTACAGCTGTGCGTGGTTACCGTGGTTACAGCTGTGCGTGGTTACCGCCGTTACATCCGTACGCGGTTACAGCTGTGCATGGTTACCGTGGTTACAGCTGTGTGTAGTTACTGTTGCACATGGTTACCGTGGTTACGCCCGTGCGTAGTTCGTTGTGCATGGTTACATCTGTACATGGTTGCATCCGTACGTAGTTACCGTGGTGACCTCTGTTTGCGCAGGGAGTATCCATGCGACATGCTGTCGATGCTGAACGTGACGTTGCTGAACACGGGATGTCCGCGCGTCCCCGTCCACGAGACGGCGCTGCAGCTGCTGCAGCTCATCGACAAGCGATTCTTCGCCGACGACGTCATCGTCTACGAGGAGAAGAAGGACGAGGACAGCGAGAAGGAGGCTGCGGTCGACGCGGGCGACAGCGACGCGCGGCACGGGCGCGAGAGCTCGCTCAACGACGTGTTGCTAGCGGCGACGTACTCGCGCTCGCAGCTGTACCTGTCTGAGCAGCTAGCGAGACTGCACCCAGATCTCACGATGCCCATGTTCTCAGGTGAGTGCGGTCGGGAAGAGGAGGGGTCAGAGAGAGAGAGAGCGAGAGAGAGAGAGAGAGAGAGAGAGAGGAAGGGGTAGGGTGGGAGACAGTGTGACGCCGCGGTCAGAGAATGAATGCGTGAATGAAAGAGCAGAGTTGCTGAGTTGATGAAATGGCGAACGTCATTTTTCACGGCGGGATTTAGTTGGTTAGTTCTTCATGTAATTAATAAATTAATGAGATCCATGTGCAGTTGTTTGTTATTAGCGCGATGTGATCCTCGTCAGTTGTTAATGCAGCGGTTCGCGTGATCCATACATCATTTACAACGCGTCACGTTCTTCATCTGTTCGCTTCGCAGAGGTGACGCAGCGCTTCCAGACGGCAAAGCAGTGGCGACGTCAGCTGCTGCTGCAGTACTTGCTGCCCTGGCTTTACAACCTTGAGCTGGTTGACCCCAACCTGCCCCCGGTGAACCCTCTCTCCTCGTTCCTCACCAAGATGCAAGAGGTGGGAGACGAGTTCCAGCCATGGCTGCAGGGAGAGGGCTGGGGGTCTGCGCAGGCAACCGAAATGGTCCTCAACAACCTGTTCTACATCACCGTCAAGGTAGGGTCGGAGGAGCTGGTGCCAGTCTATAGCTGCTCCTTTGCTGTGCTGTTGAATATACTGTCGGAATCTTCAATGTGATAAAGGCGGGCAGAACATAGTTGAAGTAGAAGTAGGAGAAGTAAACACATACAGAGGCTGAATAGATGAAATTGTGAGGCCTGACTACAGCCTAGCATTTGTTGTCATGACTACAGTAAATCACTTATGCCATTTTGTAAAAGGAGGCAATACGTGTGTGGTGTGTGTTCAGTGGGTAAGCTGTCAGGTGATTGAACAAACATTAGGAGACATTGCTGTTAGGGATGAACAACTAGTTTCAATTTATAGTAGTCTCATCAGGTTCTTCTAACTATTACTGCCTCTGGATGGACAATTTGACACTAATGGCTTCTGTGAATAGCGTCGACAACTGAAGAGATGTGTGAGTGTATGCATTAAAGCACTTGTCTTCCTGTCTCGTGTAGTTTGGTGATGACCACCAGAGGGAGATAGAGATGCTGTGGGCGTGTCTGTGCGCCTGCTGGCCTAACAATCTACGCATCATCATCCGTTATCTATTCATCGTGTCTGGCATGGCCCCTACCGAGCTTCTACCCTACGTAAGTACACACGCGCACACGCACGTACATGCACACGCACGCACATGCGCAGCACGCTCGTGTACACGCACACACATTGACACGCACGCACGCACAGGTGCACACACGTTCGTCGCCCTCCACGGCTCACCAAGAGGTCGGCCGTCAAGGTTGTGGTCAAGGTTTGATATGCCTTGAGTCAGGTATGAGAATGTTCTCTGATGGCCATCAGATTTTTGCACGCAACAATATTGTAAAGTTACACTCAGTGTGATAAAATCAGGGTTGTCATAATATAGACTACAATAATCTATAATATTATGACATCTATATCTATGTTATGATAAAATCATGTGTGCGCTTATTCATGTATAGCATTTTATTTTTTTATTTTTTGGGGGAATATACGTGAGTTGAGATGAAACTTGCAGTGTCACCGGGAGCTACATTATGCTGATATGTGTGTTCGTTAGGCAAAGCGTGTTGTCATCTACATGGCTCGGCTGAAGTCCGACCGTCTGCTTGATGAGCTGATGCAGGAACTACAGACCGTGGAGACGTTGAACAGCACCGTGGAACGCACGGAGACCCCGCCGTTCTACCGACTCATGAGCTTACGCAAGGTGCGCTGATGCCACATATACATCATAGTATACCGTTATTATATACATATATATCCTAGTATAGCATACACATATACATCATACCCTCATAATATTATATGATGATATATAATATGGGAAAATATATTGTCAGTGCGGCGTGAATTACTAAGGGATTTGCACACGCGTGCACGTGTACACAGGTTTCGATGATGTCAGAGGAATCCGCGGCAGACCAGGCGTGTGGTATCACGGACTCGCCTCAGATGGAGAAGGGAACTCTGCACACGAAACGACACAGTGCCGAGGATCCGTCCAAGGACGCGTAAGTCTCTCCTCAAAACCAAAGTTTACGTCACAAAATTCCCCTCGTATTGTGATATCATCGGATTTTTTCATTTTTTCATATAGAATTGTCTTTATTTACATTTAAATGATATACGATTTATCCGTCGAGATAAATCCAAAACATTTAGAGGGGGCGACAGTTTCAACGGCTGATCTGCTGCCCCTATCAGGCTCTACTGGTCGTTTGTAAGCAAGTACGTTAAGAAAATCGTGGGCATCGCGTACACCAGCTTAGGCCACGAGCCCTGCATGTTTATCACGCGTCGCTGTGTCTGTTGCAGGCTGGTCGAGGCATCCGTGGGAAGCGTGAGCATCTCGGAGAGCAACCAGGCAACGATAACGAGTCACGACAGCGCCGTTAGCTCCACTAGCGGCATCAGCACTGGCGGCAGCAGTGCGCCCTCTAGCGGCAAGTCCACCGAGAAGCAGCCGCTACAGTCTGCGGAGAAGCAAGAAGTGACAGGTGCGGTAGCGAGAAACGAGATCGTAGCGTTGCAGGTGTGCATATGGGCAGTGTTAATTCACGAGGATAAAAATCTTGAATTATCGAGAATTAACGCTAGCTATATATTTTGTATGTCTTCCTTTGGACAATAATCACTGGACAAGAACGCTGGGGTTGACACTAAACAAACCCACCCACCCCATGCGTGTGTTTGTGTGCGTGCATGTGTGAGAGATAAAAGTGCTTGTGTGTGTACGTGCACGTGCGTGCGTGTGTTTCTGTGTGTGCGTGCACGTGCACGTGCGTGCGTGTGCTGTGTGTGTACGCACACGTGCGTGCGTGTGCTGTGTGTGCGTGTATAGACGTGACAGCGTTATTAATGGCAAGCTTCTGTCGCAGAGGTGGACAACTTCACGACGCTGCGTAGGATGTCTGAGCGGGAGCAGAAGAAGAAGGAGCCGCAGCCGTACCCGCTGCCCATGCCGGCGTACGGAGGCTACTTCTCACCACTGCGAGAGTTCCTGCCTGAGAACCTCGCCTCAACGCCCAGCTTCCACAGGTAGGCAAAGCATGCTCACCGATAGACAAACTGTCAGAGCGACATATGCCTGTCATGTACAATCGTCACCGGTATTACTTGACGTTTATCGTGACTTCGATTGACCATCGAAGATGAATGCGCGAGGTTGTGCACGGACTATTGCGTGAATTATGTCTACTCTCCTTAATGTGATATGAACGTATTCTAATAAAAACTTTACTGTTCTTAGTTGATTACGATCAACGCTGGATTAAAGCCATTAGTGGTGCCCGGCATCTCTGTCTCTATGTTGTTTATCCATTAAGACACTGTCGATGCTAGCAATGTAAACATATTGTGTTTATTGTAGGTGCAGTCTGGCTGTAAATCTACTCACAGACTTGCTAGTGGACGGTGTGGAGGTTGACTGGTCCATACATCTGCCCCTCATGCTACACATGGTGTTCCTAGGTATACCGACTGTAGTAACTTCACACGGCTCATATAACATGCTCACAGAGCGCTTGGATTCTAGATTTTTAAACTGCTCACAGAGGGCTTTGACATTAGCTAATCATTTTTAAACATACTTGAAGCTAAATGGGCAGGCAATAGTAGGTGTTGCTTCAATTTGTCGGTGATTTTCGCGCAGGACTGGATCACTCGCGGCCACTCGTGCATGAACATTGCAAGAAGCTGCTGCTGAACCTGCTCATAGTGCTGTCAGGTCACAACGACCACCATGCCGTCGCTAGGATACTGCTTGCCAACAGACACATCAACGACACGTTCATACTGACCACCCACAGTGGCGTCTCCAAGGAATACAACTTCATTGGTATGTTACCGTGGTAACACTTGGCGGTTCTCTCGTTGTAGTCTGTTAGGAGATTATTATGTCTAATGTTGATCCGCATGTTAATATTTCTTCTTTTGCTCCTCACGTCCATATTTTTACGGTTGTTCCCACCGTTGTTCATGATTGTTCATGTTCACGTGTTCCACTCACACAGTCACCTAAGAAGGTGAAAAGTTGATAGAGCAGCAATGTCACCCAGTCTAGATTCTGTTGTTCCCACCATTGTTCATGGTTGTTCATGCTCACGTGTTCCGCTCACAGAGTCGCCTGAGAAGGTGGAGAGTGGTTTGAGCAGCAACGTTGGCATGTCTACATTCCTACTGTTGTTCCCACGGTTGTTCATGCTCACGTGTTCCGCTCACAGAGTCGCCTGAGAAGGTGGAGAGTGGTTTGAGCAGCAACGTTGGCATGTCTACGTTCAGCGTGAACTCGGTGGCGACGCTGACGCCGGAGTCCGTGCAGCAGCAGCAGCAGCAGCAGCAGCAGCAGCAGCGGTCGGTACTCGATGTCGAGGAGATGACGAGCGTAGAGGAGATCACGCTCTCCCTCGTCGACTTCATCGCATCCAGGTACGCAGGGCAGTGAGTCGGAGGGCTGCTAGATAGGTGGCTCTAGTAGTAGTAGTAGTAATAACAATAATAGTAATAATAATTGTTATTATTGTTATTGTTATTATTATCATGATCATTGTTCATATGATTCATTATGATAGTATTAATTACTTATTAATAATTATTACTGTTCGTAGAAATAATGATAATGATGATGAAAATAACAACAACAACAATAATAATGTTAATAATAATAATAATAGTAATAATATATAATGATAATAGTACTAACAGTAATTTATTAATAAAGCTGATAATTACGACAAAAACAGCAACAATAATAATAATAATAATAGTTCACGTAGCTCGTAGTACATGTACATACAACTACAGCATGGCCAGTGGTTGGTGTCCCCGTCACCATTGTCACGTGGATTCGAACGTATTCGTGCTTGTTCACGGTAGGAAATCTCGGCCGATGTGGAGTTACGAGGACATCACGTCGAAGACGTGGGCGGTGACAAGCTGTGAACAGATGGAGGCCTTCCTCAAGCACATCGTTCGCGTGTTCCGCGAATCGCTGCCGCACGCCGCCCTTGAACAACGCTGGGCGCAGGTTGCCCTGCAGGTGGCGCTGTCGTGCTCGTCGCGCCATTACGCCGGCCGCTCGTTCCAGGTGAGTCTCTATCCTCGGCCATTCTCTTTGTTTTGGAATGTAACTGTCATCTTTTCACGTGGATACTATACGACTATATACTACATACCACACGATATACTACATGTATACTATACATACATACACGATATACTATATTATCGGACTGCTACGTTGTTTCTGTGTTGTGAGTCGCGCACGCGACGATGATGGTGGCTCCATCTGTTGCAGCTGTTCCGGGCTCTGCGCGTGCCCCTGACGTCACGCATGCTGTCTGAGATCCTCTCGCGGCTGATAGAGACGGTGGCGGAGCAGGGAGAGGACATGCAGGGCTACGTGACGGAGATAATGCTCACGCTGGAAGCTAGCGTCGCAAACCTCGACGCAGACTTCCGCCCCATAGACTACAAAGAGCTGTTCAAGTCTACACCGAACCTCAACAACAGGTGAGGGGCACAGTGCGAGAGCAAGCGTGGGAAGAGGAAGCAGGGAAAGTTGGGAGAGCAATGAGGAGCAGGGGCGGGAGAAAGAGAAGGAGAAGAGGCGGAAGAAGGAGGGAAGGAGGGACAGTTTGTGGGAATGTGGTATTAATGCAATGTATTAATTTGTCATTGAGGGTGAGCATACATGCGTGCGTACACATTCCTTAGTGCGTGCTCTTGCGGAGTGTGCCTGCACGTGTGTGCACCGTCCACTGTATGTACGTATAAATAGTTTATCACTAACATACCCTATGTGTATCTGCGGTCAGGTTCAGTAGGCTGGCTATCCCACTGAGTCGGTCGTACACCGGTCACCCTCGTAGTGCCAGCTACTCTGTCTCCTACGCCACGGGACAGAAGCTTCTCAGCAGCGCTACCACCAGCCCCACCGCCGACAAGAAAAGTAAGTGCTTCCACCTACCCACCAGCCTCGCTGCTCATAATGAAACTGCTGATAGCCGATTATAATGACCGAACTGCCGGATGAATATGATGTGGTAACGGTCTTCATTTCTTTCGACGCGCCGTAGTTCTTCTCTCGTTTCTCTTCGCGCTCAATGAGGTTTCCGTCTTTGATCAGTAATTTTTTCGTTTCATGTCTCCCTCAGTCATTTTTGTGTTTCATTCAGTCGTTTTTCCGTTGCTGTTGTCACTTGGTCGTGTTTTCATTTCTTTTGTGGCTCGTTCATTTCTCCATTCCTCTTCTTACGCAGCCGACTTTCCATTTTGCTTGCCACTCAGTTATTTTTCTGTCTTGCTCTCCACTCAGCCATGTCTCAATTTCTCTTCACTCGGCAAATATTCCTTTTCTCTTCCAACTCACTATATCCCATTTCTCTTCTCACTCGAGCGTTTCACATTTTTCACTAAAAACAATTTACTGAAGCCGAGGCCGCCCACCTGGCGCAAGCCCCCTTGAGTGTAACACATCACGAACTTCATGATGTCAAAAATGGGAGATAAAAAATTTCGATAGTAAGTTAATATCTTGGATTTAACACAAGATAAATATGAATTCATGTTTTTCGCGCAGTCGCTGACAAGCTGAAGAAACCGACTGAGATCATGGACAGTCGTAAGTCTACGAACATGTGTCGCTCGCGCAGTGCCCAGTCGCTCAAGATGATGACGTCGGACCAGGGTAACCAGGACGACAAGCTGTCGATCCTCTCGCAGATGTTCTGGATCGCCGTCTCGCTGCTGGAGTCGGACTACGAACACGAGTTCTGCCTCGCGATACGTCTGCTCACGAAGGTGAGTCATGCGTTAGAGAGCCGTGGAAGCTTTTACCTCTAATCCCCGTGTCTCCCCACATTCCTGTTCAACGGATCCTGGATTCGTCCACGGCACACGCTGTCAATTCGATCCTGTGTCACCCCCATTCCTGTTCAACGGATCCTGGATTCGTCCATGGTACACGCTGTCAATTCGATCCTGTGTCACCCCCATTCCTGTTGAACGGATCCTGGATTCGTCCACGGCACACGCTGTCAATTCGAAAGTGTGCGCTTGTGCAGTCCAGATGAATAGTGTATGCGGCTTGACATGCATATGTGTGTGGCATGTATTAACTGTTACTCTTTTGACAGATTCTGAAGCACGTACAGTTGGACAGGCCAGACTATAGAGAGAAGCTGGATAAGATTCTACAGCAGCTAAAGTGGAAGGACTACCCAGGAGTGCAAGCTCTGCTACTAAAGGTAACGCACAGTTTCTAAAGAAACCAAACAGAGAATCATTTACCATCAGTTCAAGACATAGTACTGAAGGCTTAGTTATTGTTGTTGTTGTTGTTGTTGTTGTTGTTGTCGTTGGTGGTGGTGGTGATGGTGTTGTCGTTGGTGGTGGTGGTGATGGTGTTGTTGTTGTTGTTGGCGTTGGTGGTGGTGGTGGTGGTGATGGTGTTGTTGTTGTTGTTGGCGTTGGTGGTGGTGGTGGTGGTGATGGTGTTGTTGTTGTTGTTGTTGTTGTTGTTGTTGTTGTTGTTGTTGTTGTTGTTGTTGTTGTTGTTGTTGTCGTTGGTGGTGGTGGTGATGGTGTTGTTGTTGTTGTTGTCATTTTGTCATCGCCGTCATCGTCGTTGTTGTCACGCACTGATTAATGTGGTTATCTGCAGGGTTGTACATCACCGGTAACATATGAACCTACGCTGGTGCTGTTATCTGAGCTGATCATCTATCTGGACTGTCCCATCGTGGATCCATCATGTGCAGTTGGTATGTACCATGTCACATGCTACAGAAGCTGTATAGTCAAAACACGAAATACCCATGCTACGTAATACCATGATGTCGTGAAAATATAACGGAAATGCAAGGTAATATTTACAATAAATATAATTGGGAACATGAACAACTCATGCTGTGTGTATACATTGTCTTGCGAACATAATGAAAATGCAATGTATTGTTTAAAATAAACGTAAACAGTCGCACAAATGATGGATGCTATGTGGCAGACCAGCAGAGTGAAGGGTTTGTGCTGTGTTGCAGGGCAGTATGGGTGAAGAGTTTGTGCAGGATTATATATCCTACACTGGTTCTCTATCTGTGGAGGAGAAAAGTGTATATGATGTGTTTGTGTGTTGCTCGGCAGGTTTTCCAATGAATGTGATGGCGTTACTTCCCTACATGAGCCACCATTACGAGTCGCCCAACCAGCTCTGTGTGGACAGTGCTGAGGCAATAGCACAGGTTAGATTTTATTCCTAGTAGTCTAATTTCATGTGAGTCCTAGTACTATCTTTTTGTTCCAAGTTAGATACAATGCTATTTTACTTATAATTATATATATAATATTAAGCGCGTATAAAGAAGGAGAGCGTACAACGGTGAAATGCTGAAACCATGTTGCAGTATTAGTCGAATTAATAAACTTTGACCGTTTTATTTTGACGATTCTTTGCAGTATTATTGATCAGCTGTCCTACCTTGTTAATATAAAACAAACCGCACGTCCCTACGATGCCCCTACGCTGAGATAATGAGCTGTGAAAATCTGGTATTTTCGCCGAAAACTGACTCGAGATACCTGCTGACTGCGACTGTCTCTCGCTTTGACACTTCGGGAAATCTCGCGTGTTTCTGTCAATGATTGACAAATGGAATGAATGACGTCTGTTATTGATTGCCATAGTGATGACCCCCACCTGTGCCCACCTCACGCTGGATGTAGTAAACTCTGTAGTACTGACGTAATGAGTCAGCGCTACCATGGCGCTACACAGCGGTGACCGGAAGCAACACACTGGCCACAAAGCGAGAGGGTCGCAGCAAACAGGGATCTCGAGTCGGTTTTCGGCAAAAATACCAGATTTCCACCACTCATTATCTCAGCGTAGGGTCATCGTAGGGACAAGCGGTTTGTTTTATATTAGCAAGGTAGGACAGCTGATCAATAATACCGCAAAGAATCGTCAAAATAAAACGGGCAAAGTTTCTTAATTCGACGAATACCGCAACATGGTTTCAGCATTTTACCGTTGTACGCTCTCCTTCTTTATACGCTCTTAATAATATACTTATACATATATACTATTATACTCACATTTTCTATTACTAATTTTGTGTTTTATTATAGACTTAAATTTTATCCTTTACAATCGGCCTGATAAGGTGACGGTGAGCTTTGTATTCGTGTAAAGCACAGTAATGTTCTATGTTGTCAACCTCGTTCCTATGCTGCCACACAGATGTGCCTAGAGAAGTCTAAAAAGCTTGAGAACCTGGGAACCGTGATGACACTGTACAGCCGCCGCACATTCAGCAAGGAGTACATGCAGTGGACCAAGTGTGTTGTCAAGTATCTCCATGACAACTACGAAAATCTCAGTCTGAACATGATCTCATTCCTTATGGAGGTATGTCCATCGCTCACTGCATATTACAGGCTAGACAGGTTGACACGTCTTGCCAACATGGATGTGTGTTTAGTACAGGTGTTAGAGAAGGGGCCATCCTATGTACAGGTTTCCATCATGGCTGTGTGTTTAGTACAGGTTATGGAGAAGGGCATCCTATGTACAGCGTTCGCCATCATGGGCTGTGTGTTTACGTACAGGTGTTAACGAAGGGGGCCATCCTATTGACAGGTTCGCCATCATGTGCTGTGTGTTTTGTTACTAACAAGTGTTTGGAGAAGGGGCCATCCTATTGTGACAGGTTCCCCATCATGCGCTTGTGCTTGTTTAGTACAGGTGTTGGATGAAGGGGCCCATCCCTATGTAAGGTCCCATCATGCGCTGTGTGTTTTTGTTCAACTACCAGGTGTTAGCAGAAGGGCCTGCCTAATGTACAGGTTCCGATCATGGCTGCTGTGTTTACGTACAGGTGTTGAGAAGGGGCTCATCCTCTATGTCAGGTTCCCATCATCGGTGTGTGTTTGTTAACTACAGGTGGTTGGAGATAGGGGCCATCCTATGTACAGGTTCCCATCAGAGGCTGTGGTGTTTGTTACCTACACACGGTTATGGACTGAATCGGGCCATCCTATGTCCGTTATGGTTCTTCATCATGGCTTGTTGTTTTATAGGTAACAGGTTGTTATGAGAAGCGGCCATCCTATCGTCAACGGTTCCACATCATGGATGTGTGTTTGTTTTACTACAGGTATGTGAGGAAGGGGCATCCAATGTACAGTTCCCTATCATGCTGATGTGTTTGTTACACAGGTGTTGCGAAGAAGGGGCCATCCTATGTACAGGTTCCCATCATGGCTGTGTGTTTGTTACTACAGGTATTGGAGAAGGGGCCATCCTATGTACAGGTTTCCATCATGGCTGTGTGTTTGTTACTACAGGTGTTGGAGAAGGGGCCATCCTATGTACAGGTTCCCATCATGGCTGTGTGTTTGTTACTACAGGTGTTGGAGAAGGGGCCATCCTATGTACAGGTTCCCATTATGAACATCATCTACTGTATGCTTCATTATATCGACATCAACTCTCCCTGTAACTACCAGGCTGTCAACGAGGAGCTGATACGATGTATCAGTCGCCACCTAGATGTGAGTTATACTAGATATTAGTTGATATTCGGTACTTGACTGTCAGTGATCCTCACTTCTATGTGAATAAATTTATATAAGCATGGCACATTTTAATTCACATTTGGTCACTCTTCTTGTTAATTTCACCTGTTTTAAGTATTTCAGGAATTCTATACTTAATAAGTATTTCTTCGTGTAAAAATCTTCATAATAAATAAATAAGTAAATAAATGAATAACGTAAATAAGTAAATCAAATAGTAAAATCCGCTGACAGTGAGGCGTCGATGTGACGCTGATCGTATGACTGATGTTAACTATATCGCCGAGCAGGGCAGTCACTGGAAGGAGGCATCTAAGATACTGAAGCTGGTCGTAACAAAGTCCTCATCACTAGTCGCCATCCCGCCGAAGACGAAGCTTCCAGCATCGGACATCTCCAGTATTGCCTCCCTCTCCTCCCACACATCATTCGCCGAGGCTGAGTCCATAGTGCCAAAGAAGGAGTTGCCAGGTGTGTAGAACATGAGGGAGTGGCTACGCGCGGCAACGTGGCGGAGTATAAATAAAAGGAAACTATTTTCGGGGCAGACAGTACCTGTGTTCCTCTTAACTGCATCTTTTTTCCCATGTGAATCTGGTGAACCCATTTCCAGCTTCCTCTGTCTTTTGAAGACCTATATCCTTCTTTACCTGTATCTCTTTTGCACATATATCCTACTCTATCCCTATCCTCCAAACCCCTGTCCACATAATGTAGGCCTACCTACCTTCATTCTCGGAAACTCGTCACCATGTCGTAGGTCTGAGCTGATGCGTGAATGCGTGACCAGTGCTTGGATTAACTTGGTTTTTATTAAGTACTAGCACAGCTCTAACTCTCTCAGTCTTCATAGTGCAGCCTTAACCCTATCTCACCACTGACAGGTCGTACGATGGATTTCTCGTTTGATATCACGACGACGCCGATAGCCGGCCGTAAGTACCGTCACGGCAGCCAGACGTCCGACGGAAGCAAGGAGACAAACTCCCTGGAGCTATCCCCAGGAAGAAGCTCAGCTGTCGGGCAGAACGGGACCCAGTCCGGATGGAAGCGACCTCACCTGTCCCAGGTATACGACGTCCGGGTGTATGTACAGTAATCAGCCACTGAGCTTAAAATACAATTTAAAAAATAATAAAAAATAAAAATAATAAAAAAACTATTTTTAATATTAAAATTTTAAAGTTAAAATGTTAAAGTATTAGATTATGTGCTGTGTGTAGTCTGAGTGCCATTGCTGTTTGCTGATTCAGTGCATGTGCTAATGCGTGTTTTTTCATTGTGGGTTTCAGCCAAGGACGAGGGAAAGACTAGTCAACCTGCTGACAGTGTATGGAGAGAGAGTAGGCCTAACCAAGAGCCCATCTGTAAGTAATGCCGCACTATTACCCATCTGTGAAGGTTGTAGGTACAAGATGCACGGGTGATAGGGTGTAAAAGGTTACACTCTGTCCTGTCACTAATGAGATTATGGATTAGATTTTTGTTGTGTGTGTGTGTGCTCTTAAAAGTTGTATTTATTTATAGTATTCAATAAATACTGCTATCGTAATCATGTTTTTGATCTGGTAAGAAGTGACCAGGTAGTCAGACGCCACTCTCTCTGACTCGCATGTATTCTTGCTACAGGTGATATTCAGTCAGAACAGTGACATCGCTGAGCGGCAGTCTAGCATGTGCTCAAGCAGTGAGGAGATGTCCCCTAACGAGGTGTCGCTGACAGAGAGCAAGATGGAACATGGTGGATCCACGGACAACCAGTTCGGAGTTTTCAAGGACTTTGACTTCCTAGACATTGAGCTGGAGAGTGCAGAGGTGGGGCGAAGTGGGAGGAGGAGTAGGAGGAGGAGCGGGTGGAGTAGGAGTAGAAGGGGAAGGGGAGATGATGAGGATGGAGGTGAGGGGAAGGAAGGAGGTGGAGGATGTGCAGGAACAGGAAGATATCTTGGAATACTAGTATGATCTAATACGTACTCTACTCAATTAAGTGTTGCATACATTTTTGCGTACCAACTACCAGCTCATGGCCCTCACGTATCTAACCTTCTAACCTTGTTTTGCTCATGTTAGCAATTGCATGTCAGTAGTACATTAGAGTTCATTAAGGGGAAGGGGAAAAGGAGAAGAAGGAAGAATGAGAGAGAAAGGGGAGGAAGTGGAGATGGATGAGGAGAAAGAGGAGAAAAGGGTTGTTAGTAATGTAATGTGATAACTGTCCCTCAACTGCTCAAACGCTCAGCCGTTTAACTTCATCTTCGCAGGACGATACGATGGACAACTTCAACTGGGGCGTGCGTCGTCGCTCGCTCAGCAACCTAGAGGGCGCTGTCGACTCGCTGAAGGAGTCGTCGTTGACCGGGAGTGTTCCCTGCCTCGTGACGGCGCGCGGGATGCGGGAAGAATCCAGTGATGATGAACTACACAGTGTGTCACCAGTCGATGAGGTAAGGAGGAGGGGGAATGGAGAGGGAGGAGGGGGAGGATGAGGAGGATGGAGGGGGATGAGGGGGGGACGGAGAGGGATGAGGGGGAGGGGGAACGGAGAGGGATGAGGGGGAGGCACAGGTAAGGGTGAAGGGAAGTAGAGAGGGATGAGGGGGGAGGCACAGGTAAGGGGAGGGGGAACGGAGAGGAATGAGGGGAGGCACAGGTAAGGGGAGGGGGAACGGAGAGGGATGAGGGGGAGGCACAGGTAAGGGTGAAGGGAAGTAGAGAGGGATGAGGGGGAGGCACAGGTAAGGGTGAAGGGAAGTAGA